CCAGTAATCTATTCAGAACTATCAGATCTGCTGTGCTCTTCTAATCTTTCTGTTGCAACATCTAGCCTAGAAATGCTGCACAACAGTTGATCCAAACTGTTACATAGACAAATCTATCCTTTGACTGTGGTGCCAGAAATAAAGAGGCAATATCAGTCAGCTATTTCATAGCTTCTACATATCTGGGTACCAACTGTTTGTTTTGTTGCTACTGACATTGATATCGGGAAGGCAGATCTACAGTTGTCTTAGGCCAAAGGCTCAGAGGTAGATTTTATTTAAAGGAGGCTTCTGGCTTTTACTGCAAAGCACAGTCCCTTGTCTCTTCCTCTGTCTCTCTGTCTATCTGTGCACATGGATAACCCTGCTTTTCTTCCAAATGGGGACCCCTCCAGAAGGCTTATGTCAGGGGGTGTGGCCTTCTGACACACTTCCGGTGATGTCAGGGGGTGTGGCCTTATGACACACTTCCAGTGATGTCAGGGGGTGTGGCCTTATGACACACTTCCGGTGATATCAGGGAGTGTGGTATATGCTAATGAGTTATGCTAATGAGCTCCTGCAGCTCTTTTTCTACAAAAAGACCCCTGCATAGATTCTTTATGTAAGGGTAGGTATTTAAATGTAATCCACTTTGAGTGAAATGCATCCTCTGTTATTTACTTTTTTTATTAAAATGGTTTATGTGAGCAGCTTGCAAGTTTTCATATACCATACAAGTAATCAAAAATGAAACTTAAGTGAACTGTTGAGCCAACAGAAGTTACTAAAATCTGAACATAAACATAGCTGTGTAGATGTGTACTCCCCTTACAAATTAATAATAATGTACACCAGTGTGCTAGTCATTCTACCAATATAAAGGTACTGGTTTATTTGCTCTTCTACAGTTTTTATTTAGTTCTGGGTATACATGGTGACTGGAAAGATGAGTCTGCTTTTAAAAGCCCTATAGGCCCCAAGGGATTGCAATAGTTAATAAAAATTTAGAAGGTGGTATGTTTAAGCTGAGCAGAGGGAAGATGCTTTTTTTGTAATTTTCAGCAAGAAAACCAATGTAGCCACTTAGAACAATTCATTGGGCAATTATTTCAGGAGTATGTTCTTCTGCAAAATGTTTGAATGGACTTTTTCTGGCTATTGTATTTCTAGTGAGTGGTCTTCATGAGTAGCTGCTTCTTTCCAGCTATGAGCCTCCATACATTTCCCAGAGGATACTAGTAAGATCAAGTCTTAATATCAAATAAAATAAATGAATATATTATGGCCTGAAAAATCTGCACCCACCACCTTTAAATTTTTGTAAAGTCTAGTCAGCAGTTCCTGCCTCACTAGATTCAAATATACTCCTCTCATCTATAGTATTTGAGAAAGGGACCTTTGACTACTGAAAGCTTATCCCCTGGAGATCTTGCTGTTCTTTAAGGTGCTACTGGACTCGAACCTTGCTTTTCTACTGCAGACCAACAGGGCTACCCACCTGAAAATCTCTCTCATCCATGTAATTTACATTTATATATAACCCCAGTTTCTTTCACCAACCCCATTTGAGGGGGGGAAAAAAAGGGTCTTGGGTTGGTCATGGGGGGGGGGCTGTGACAAGAAAACAGTGGTGTCTCTACCCACTGGCCTCCAATTCCTAATGGGGCAATCAAACAGAACTTTGGTACCCCTCCAGTCACCCATAACTACGGCTGCCAGGCCCCCACTGCCAATCAACTGGCCAGTGGGGGGACTTACTGGCAGCGCTGGGAGGCCTAGGGTGGTGTCACTTTCAGCACACACTGAGAGTGATATCATCATGTTACAATGATGTAGGACACTCAGTTAATTTGGGCAAAAACTCTATGGTAAAAATGGCTTCTACCATAGAGTTCTTGTCCAAATATCAGTGCCTCTCCACATTGCTGGAACACAATGATGTCACTTCCAGTGTATGCTGGAAGTGATGTCATTGATGTCACTGCAGCGCAGGCCTAGGCCTTCCCTGTACTTCTTGTAAGTACCCCCCACTAGTTGCTGGGAGGGACATGGCAGCCCTACCTATAAGTATTCACATGTAGAATTTAAAATACAAGTAGCATTTAATTTAACAAAGAGGGATGGAAAATCAAAACAAAGCAACATAAAGCCAGAACCAAAGGGGTGGTTAGAGGTTTTTACTGTCTCTCTAAGGACTTTGGAAAGTCTTTCATACTCAATCTACTGTGGCTCGGATGGCTCTCTGTGGTGGCGGTGGTGCTGCCCTTGGTACTTTTTGTGTTGCTGCATATCTCTGGAGGCTGCAACTCTCTCGGGGCTTCTTTTCAGGTTCTCTGTACCTGAACCCAGAGGGCTTCTCTCCTTTTATTCCTCAGAACTCTCTCTCCTTAGGACTCTCCTTTTCCCATCTCAGGAGTCTCTTACGGCTTCCTCTCAGGGACAAAATAGTCTTTCTTCCCTAAATCCAACAGAGGTCCAAACCCACAGGGTTACATTTATTTTAGTGGTAGTGAAAAGCAAGCTGACAATATGCTGTGGGAGCAGAGGATGTTCCCTTCCATATACCTTCTTACTTTGCAAACACAGGCCGATTGGGGGGGGGGGGGGTGTAAATTGCTATCTTGCTCCATGTTTCTCCCACATCCCTCTTGTTCAACATATTTTATGCATTCGAATGAAATTGTAACAAGCTTTAAAATTCCATCAGCTGTCGTATATATTTGTTGAGAAGGCAACTTTATATTTGGAGGCTCTTGTAAGAAAGAGATTGTGCTTTGCTGTGTTATGCATAATAAGCGAAACTGACGGTAGAGGTTACAGAAATCATCCAACAATTTTGATGCACAATACCCATGAACAAATTTCCCAGATGTAATGCTGGGGTCTCTGTTTGTGGAAAAAGAGAATTATATGAACATCTCTGCTAATCTGAGGCTTTTCTTCTTCTGACATTATTTTTATTGGCTGCGAGGTAAATTTTTGTTTCCGAAACAAAAGCTATGGGGGAGGCTTAACCTTGCAAGTAAAAGATAATATAATCAATTGAAATAACCAATAAATGGGATCTAAGGAGCCTCTTAATGTGATGTATAAAGTGACTCTTTCTTTACCTGAGCTTTAAATAAACCTGAGACTGCTTCCCAGAAGTGGCATTTTCCCCTAGGTGTAATATCTTAGTTGTCACTGTGATTGATGTTTCCTTTGAACAAATGACCCTTTTAAACTAGATGGAACTGAGTATCTTACAATAGAAATGCCATGCCTTAGCTTTTGTTTTATGAAGAAAATTTTTTCTTTAAGAATGTTTTGAGGCCCGTTTCTTTTAGCAGAATGATATGACTCACTTTCTGGAGTTTTTGTATCAATGGAATCCTGCATAGCAGTTAAAACGAAATTCATTCAAGAGACATTTGAAGCTTGTAGACTGAGGAAAAGTTAGTGCTGCACTGACTGAAATATCCCAGAAATGGCTAACTTTCAGTGAACTTATTTGCTTTAATTTTTTTTGGTAAAACCTTATTGCTAGTAAGCGCTTGGTTATGCAAGGAATTAACTAGAATATGCATATTGTAATAGAGTTGTGTAAGAATAATTAAAGTCTTGTTCTGATATCTGATTTCCTTCAGGTACTTGGAATTTACTAGATTACATTTTTTGGACCCTGGGTATAAAGGTGGAGTTCTTAATTAAGGTATTATTCAGTAATATTTTTCTTAAATGTGTTCTTATGTTCAAAGGTATACTGTCTTTCACCGCATTTTGAAGAACGTTGAAGACAATGAAGGTGGCCTTGACAAGTTCACAAGGAGTTACCAGACTTTTGGCATCCATAGGTTTGTGGATGGAGGGCTCTACTGTAAGGAATGGGCTCCTGGGGCAGAAGCAGTTTTTCTCACTGGTGACTTCAGTAAGTATCATTCAACATATGAATTAAGTCTTATTACTTAATTATTGCTGCATCTGCAAGTTCACTCTGTTTTTATCATTCTACTTATACATTTTTATTCCTTTAGATAAATGACAAATCTAAGTGCAAACTTCTGAGTAGCTGGGAATTCACTGTAATCTTAACATCCTGTTTAGTATTATGGTTATGCACTGAGAGAGAGAGGCTTGAATGAAGAATGCCCTCTAAAGTTAAAAATAGTATCTGGAGCATTCTTGTACCTAGCATAGACATGGTTGCCAGGCCCCTGCTGGGGCTGAGGGATCCCCCATTTTCCAGGATTACTCCTCCTGGCATTGATCAGCTGGTTGGTGGGGGGAGGTTAATATTACCCAAACTGGACCTAGAGATGGGGCAATTAGCTTTAAAAAGGGTTCCAGAAAGGAATAACACAGGACCTTGTAAGGCTGTGATCACACACACAAAATAATCCACTTTCAGTGCACTTTCCAATTGGATTTTTACTGTGTGAACTGGGAAAATCCAATTTGAAAGTGCATTGAATGTGGATTGAAAGTGGATTATTTTGTGTGTGTGATCGCAGCCTAAGTATGTGTATACCAGGGTGGATCTCAGTAGGGGTACCCTAAAATAAAATTATGAAGAGATTGAGAGTGATTGTAAACACAAACGAATACCTTTATTGTACACAAAATAAAGTAAGAAGAATAAAAATGTAAAGAACCTACACTGTGCACCTGAGAACTGATTGCCTGAGCACTCAAACACACGCACCAGCAAGAGGTTGCACTTATTAAAGTAGAAGGGAACAAGCTGGGAGGTTTAGGGAAGGGACACACAACCTTAAATTCAGGCCTTGTGGTCTGGAGAGTTCCAGGGGTAGATACAGTAGAAGTTCAAGGAGCAGGGTGTCAAAGAGGAAAAGGGAAGCCTGCAAAGTGTTTGCAAAAGGATCCAAGTAGTGGGAGAAACTGGCGCTCTTTCCATAGAGTTGGGGTGGTCTTTTGGTGGGGAAGGGTCCCACAGCTAGACATGGGAACCCACTTTCCAGGAACATGATCGGTCCAAGATATGACGTTTGATTTTGACTGGGCAGTTCATAAATAATTGCTGTCAAAATTGAGCGGGAAGATTAGTAGGGAAATACCTGACATTCTAAGGTGGGGTGATGGTAGGACAGTTTTAGCATATTGACAAAGAACTGGGAGTGAATGATGGATTTAAATATCCTTTTGATGTGGCTCAGATGTTAGGATGCCTTTATCAATTGCTGGATTGGATTAGCGATACTTAAGGATTGCCCAGCTGCCTATCCTTGGAAATGGTTCACATTGCCTTGATAAAGTATCCTTCTGGGGTGTGACAGGATATTGGGTGATGTTCTTAGCACTGAAAGGTTTTTTGTCCTTGAACAAGATATACCATGCATCTGAGCCGGGGTGGGGGGGTTGTGGGGTTACATTTAATCAGTTTTTTAATTCTAGCACACCCATCTTCTTCTTTCCGGGGATTTTCCAATATTATGCCTGAACCCAGTTGCCTTTATAAGACTTCCTGAGTTTCCGATCTCCTGGACTTAGGCTCTAAAAGGGGATGCCTATTATAACAACTGCAACGCTGAACTGCAGGCTGTGGAAGGTCAGTAGTTCAGCAGTTCGAGACCCGAGTTGCCGCATGATGGAGTGGGCTCCCGTCTCTAGCTCCAGCTCCTGCCAACCTAGCAGTTTGAAAGCAAGAAATTGCAAGTAGATAAATAGGTACCACTTCGGTGGGAAGGTAAAAGCGTTCCGTGCGCCTTGGTGCTTAGTCATGCTGGCCACATGACCACGGAAACGTCTTCGGACAGCGCTGGCTCTTCGGCTTTGAAACGGAGATGAGCACCGCAGCCCTAGAGTCGGACTCAACTGGCTTTCGAGCAAGGGAACCTTTACTTTATTATAACAACTACATCCAAAACAAAAGGGGACCCTGATATCCAAGGGGGTCTGTGCTGGAGGAGAGGATTTATTTATACATTTATACCCTGGTGGTTTAGAGGCAGACCCAGCAATGGCCAATCAGGACCCTCGGAAACTGCATCAGGAAAAAGAAGGGGGAGGAGAAGAGGGGGAAAAACTATTTAATTGCTGTTTGTCAAAGAGGGTTTAGAGGTTTCTTAGGCAAGTCAGGATCTTGCTCTGTCTCTAGCTGGTTCATGAGGAAGTGCACTGTTTAGTGTCATGGTCTAGTATGACACATACTGGTTGATGGTTCACATTTGCAGTCTTTCAGCTTTATTTGGAAGTTACAGGTAGGCAGAAATTATCATATAATCTAAAAGATTAGGAAAAGGGTGGAAAAAGTAACATCTTTTAAAGCCTAAAGTAGTCTGGCAGTTAGTGCTGTTCTTTCCACTGTGAAACAGTATATTCAGTATGTAAAACAGGGGTTCTTAATCTTTATGCTATGGACCCCTTTGGCATTCTAGTGAAGACTATAGACCCCTTCTCAGAATACTGTTTTTAGGTGCATAAAATAAAATGCATAGGATTACAAAGGAAACCAATTATACTGAGAGACAATCAAAATATTAAAAAACCCAAATTTGTGATACAGTAATATATGTGCTTCTTTATTGACACATTAAATAACAAGGCAATACATTTAAAATATACTCAAGTTAAATTTTATTTATGAAAATATCTGATTTCTGTTCGTGACAAAAAAAATCACAGGTACTGCTAATACTACTATGGTTTGTTGCCTACATTCATAATGGAAAGAAATGCTAAATTTCAATTAGAGGTTAGTGAAAATAACCCATCCAAGTTTATGGATCCCTGTGAACCGCACATTAAGAACCCCTGATGTAAAGAAACTGTATCTTCATATTTTTGTATTTCAGTAAGTTACATTTGTATTAAGTTGGGGCTGAATATCTGTAGTTCTGTCTTCTCCACAAAATCTTCCATGGAAAAGCAGACAGAAGTAAATTCTAGATATTGGCCCCCAAACAACCCAGAACCCCCCCTTTGGGATGAGTGAAATGAAACACAAGATTTTAGTCTGAAGATGTTGTATGACAATTTTATTTTAAATGATTTGCCGTTATCAGTAATGATAATTCCAATATACACTGTAGACGTATAAAACAATTTTGAGAATTTCTTTTGTTTAAATGTAAATAATTTCCATAATAAATAATAGTCTATAATTTATTTAATGAAATCATATTATGAAAGAGTTCGGTGTTTTCAATGCTATAAAGTTTAACTTAATATCCAAAAAAGCTGATAATCCTACCTATTGTGACTGTATGAGTGTTTCTGTTGAAATAATACCCTTTTCTTGGTTTACTACAGAATTTGTTTTCTACCTTCATCTTTTTTTAAAATAGGACATGTGCTATGGTTGCGCAGGGTGCAGCAGTTTAGAACTCTTTGTCAAATATTGGGTATACTTGCGATTTTCTTATGGAAACTGAAGAATCATAGTTTTGAATTTCATAAATATACCAGATAGTACAATTAGGGTTGCCAACTGTGACTTACCTCGCGGGCGGGGGACTCCTGGGGGATCCTGGCGTGCGCGCGCGCGCTTTGCATGCGCGCACTGCATTCGCATCACAGGGCAATGACGTCATGATGCCGGGCACGCTGGGGGCGGGGCTATGACTATACAAGGGAAAACCATAGACCCATAAAACCATAGAGTTCCCTTGTATGGCCGTGGCCCCGCCCCCAGCGTGCCCAGCGTCATGATGTCACTGCCCTGTGACACGTACGTCGGGGCGGGGTTCCCCACGGGGCCCGATTCCCCGGCGTCTGGGAACGGGCCTCTGGGGCGGGGGATTTTCCGCCCCCCGGGGGGATTTGGCAGCCCTAAGTACAATGCATTTTATATTGCTAAATCAGTCAAATAAGTTTATATTTGCTAGGAAAGAAAGTATGGTTTATATTTCATCCTCTCACCCCAATTTCTATTTGTTTGTCCCCCCCCCCCATTTGGGGGGGGGGTTCCATGGTTTCAAAGGTCCTAGAAATTTTACATCTCTAAAACAATCCTCCGAAAATCAGCAAAAAGGAGGTTGAAAGTGGATGAACAATAATTGGGCAGTAAAGGTAGATTGGGGTTTTTAAATGTCAAATAAGTGAATGTTGAGATAAACAAAGAAAAGAACTGCAAATGTAAGGATGATCCAGTGAGGGAATGAAATTGAGCAGAAGTTCATGTGGGGAATCCTGAACTGTATGACACAGTAGCTCTGTTCACAAGTTCCAGTGAACAGATATACATCCTGCATGTACCTGTGTTCCTCTATTGGTAAAAAAAGAGCTAATGTGTGTTCACTTTACAAATAAAGCTGAGGACCAGTACCTGGATGAATGAGTGGTTTGAATCACACATTTGGTTGTATGTATGTTGAATGTAATATGATTACTTAACACATGTATAAAGAAAAAATAAAGTGGACACTGTACATGAATTGAGTATGTGCTCAATGGAACTTGTGAACAGGGCTAGAGTGTCAGACTAGGGTCTGAGAGACCTCAGTTCAAATCCTCATTCTGCCATGGAAGCTTGCAGGATAATTCTTAGGCTAGTCACACACACTCAGCCTAATCTACCTCACAGGGTTGTTGCGAGGATAAAACGGAGCAGGGGAGAGCTTGGTACGCTGCTTTTGGTCACCATTGGGTAAGGAAGATGGGGCATAAATAAAATAATCAAATGCATATAGAATAGAAGTATAACTCTTTATGATACCCTCTGATCATGAAAGGTCAACATTGTAAAGCTTAACAAAGTAAGAGCAAAGCTACGGTGTTGGTAGCTAAAGTTAGATATGTAAAATAAATATATGGTGGAGTTACAATGGCTGTAAGAACCTGGTGTGTATTTGTTTTCATTCAGTAGCTGGTTGACATATTCTAATTCAGGTGATCTTATTTAGCATCTTGATTAATTTGGTTTGCAAAAAGAGCATAGCATTTTCAAAAATGTCCAGGGGCCAAAAATGC